AGAAATTTATATTTTAATTTTCTTAATTTAAAAATAGTCACAGCTTTAAAGTGTTCAATTAAATTGCATCGAATTTATAATACCCGTATATCCGGACTCTTAAGTATTATGTAAAGATTGATAAAATGAATCGGTTTTCGATTACTAATAACGTTATTATAATAAATTATGTACATAAACATACATACGACCTATATAATATATTGCATTTCAGTATATCAATTATCAAACAATTCAACTTATAAGCCAAAATTCAACTTAAATGACTTAGACTTATCGAGAAATTCTAATAATCGAGAAAATTAATCATACATTCAGTAATAGGTAGGAACATTGAAATGTAGGAGACATGGGATTCCTTGGAATTATCGAAAATGCCACTTTTAGAGGTTCCACTGTATATATAATAATATAAATTACCAAGCTTTGCGATTGATATCTAGTCATTTCACGTTTATGTGTTCTGAGGCTGTACCGTCTCCGCTCAGAATCATTTTCTTATACAATGATATTATATCATTGAATTCAAATTTAATATCATCCATTATACAGTGACCCACTTGTAACCTACTGTACAGCAGAGTGACACCCACTTGCCTACCTTTTTTTTTTTTTATTACAATTAAAAACAGTCTTCAAGAATCGGTTAAACTAAATGTTCATATTATGTATATGCTTTAAGATTGTGTCCATTAGTTTTATTTTTTCCTTTCTTGTGTTGTCAACACCATTAAAAAATGTAAAAAAAAAAAAAAATAATATAATAAAATATTACAAAATGGCTGTAAATAACCATTGCTTCAAACATTCATTTTAAATTAAGCTAATTTGAAACAGACCTATAACTGTGAAATTAAATGTAAATTATTTAATTATATTTTATATAATTATAATATACTGTAAGGATAATATTATAGTGGTGACCTATAAATGTCCTGCTCACGGCTATGTAATTTGTTTTAGTAAAAAGCTCGTATTATTCATAAATCATATAATAATTAATTTTTAATCTCGCCGTGATTATAATATTTAAAAATTGTATTTTTGGTGGGTAATTTAACGGCCAATGAAATGAAGCGAACCACTACTATGGCTGGGAAGGGTGGGCTAACCGGACCAAAACTCGTATCGTTGCTAACATCATTACCCATTTTGTCATGCAAGCACCCGGCTTGCCTGTCATGGCATTTCGAGTTTTTGCGTCGGCAGACGTGCATGTGTGTTTTACTCGCGTCGTCCATTTTTACAACCATGTGGAACAACCTAATTCACTGACGCTACTTTTTGCTGTTTAGCATTATGTCATATAACAGGTATGTACTTTTCACAATAACGACGTGCAAATGCATGTAATTTTATCTCTCGTAATTGTCTCGGGCCCAGATCGTTAATACTGTGTCCATTTCGTTTGTTTTAAATTTGCTATGTTGCGCACTCGTGAGACAGAGACAATACCTAAAAACGTGTTTGTAGCTTCCTCTTGACCTTTATAATTCTGAATTTTGTCGTGTTTATCTCAAATCGATATCGAATCGAATTATGGATATTGTTGCCCATCACTATTTTTATAATGTCTGTATTCTTAAATATTCGCCCAGATGAATGTACTCCATCGCCCTGAGGTCTAATGCCCCCAAAACGTATCTACCATTTTAAGTAAATATGTAGGTATATTATATATGTACACTACGGTGGTAGTGATGGCGGCCGACGCGATGCGTAAGCGCTGGTATAGTGGTAGGAACACGCATAAGTGAATGAGTCTGGGATGCCACCCAGTTTCGTTCTCTCTGTAAACGCAATATCGTTCTAAATTCGATGTTGCTACGAATATAGACCAAGGCATAAAGGCATAAATAATATAAAATTGTATGTATAATTGTACATAATGTACAGTGTCAATTAAATGTTGAGAGGACGCTACACGGCCATTTTCGGTACATGTTACCACCTCCCCCCCTTGTATCCACCACTGAGTCAAATCCGTTGACCGACGCAGCTGCTGAAACTCACGAACGATGCCGAATTGCCGACCTTCGGTCCCACAACGTTGCCAGATTTCCTTATCTAAACGGTAACATTCGAATGGTCTCCCACCTTTTTGGAATACTATGCAACGCCCGGAATCCCGTGTGCTGTGAGTCCCACGAAATTATTCATTAGTTTTTATCCCGACAAAAAAATTGCACCTTGAGACGGCAAATTCATATTATTATTAAAAAACTATGACTTACGGCAACAAATCCTAATCATCAAAAAATAACATCTAGCGACGATCAAAAAAATTATCATTTCCCTTACATTATAATATTATGTTATTTATATCCATATTTATAACTTAAATATTTGCCATGCAACTATCCCAATTATTCTTGGTCTCCTGTATCAATTATCTGACGACATGCTAAATTATATCATACTTTGTGCACCTGCAATGTGCTAAATCAAATGACCATTGGGTAGGTAAGTTGTAAATTGCCACCATATTATTCATTGACAAAATATTGTATTAACATTACTCTTGTGATGAAGTTAGAAAATTATTAATTCAATTGTAATTACATTTATTATTATTCTTTATAACAAATTAACTAAATTATCCACATGTAAAATACAAATTTATGATTAAATTTAAACAAATTATTAGGTACTTAATTGTATTATGCAAAGTGTAACCTTATTCTTTAACTTATATTACTATTTTATTTTAACTTGTACAAAGCAGACAAGTTCAACTGAATTGACCTTATTGACATTACACGGTGCGAATTGTGTGTCACTAGGTGAGTGTTCCCCTAAGATAGTGTGTTTTAGGCCCCTAAAAAGGCAGAGATCTCAGAAATCATTTAAAATTTTTTAAGATGAAGCATTGAGTGAGCGCGACGCTCACCTCGTAGTTTTTTTCATCATTATTAATTATATAATGTACATAAAATATTGAAAAAAACAACGAATTATTTATAGTTTAATCTTTCACAAGAAATGTTGTTACAATTTTTCTTCATTATAAATTGTAAACCACTAAAAATTAATTTATAATTTTTTATACATAATTATATAATAATATAATCATTATCATTCTTCTTCGCCCTAGTGTTCTGGAATATTTTACTTAATTATTATACAGTACGCATATGAATGTTGTGTGCTCCTTAAAAATAAGTCTGAATTTTCGAAAAAGTATTTGGTTGACCTATTGAGTGAGTGCAACGCTCAATTTATGGATATTAACAACATTGAATGTCGATATCTAATCAAGAGTTATTTATAAAATTATTATATTTGCAAAAGCATATTTAAACATAAGTCGATTGAAGGTATAAATAATATCAGATGAATTAAGTAATAAATAAATAAGTGGCTCTCAAAATACTAACAAGGTGAGCTCCGCCCTCACATCGCGACCACTGACGGGTTAACTGTCAGCTGGACACGGGTGCACAAGTAAATATAATGTCTATTGAAAATTTAAAAAAAATTAATATTTATGTCAATAATATAAAAAAGGAATCTCAATTAAAATGAATGACAGTTAATTCTGATGAAATACCTAGTTTTGGTAAAAACATTATTAAATGTTTATATAAACAAATATGTTATTCTACTGCATTTTTAATAGTTGATTTTCCATGCAATACTATACTGGGGTTGACAATTTGTAATAATCATAAAGTAATTTCTCTAATTAATGTTATATACAATTTAAACAATGATAAAGATACTAATAATTTAAATGAGTATAAAGTTTTATTTGAAGGTCTAGGATGTTTGCCTATAACTTATAATATACATATAGACAATAATATTCAACCTAAAATAGATTGTCCTAGGAAAGTTCCATTTCAATTAATGTATGATCAAATTAGAGGCTGAATTGAATCATATGGTTAATATTAAATAATTAGAAAAAATAAATGCACCAACCTAATGAGTTACTTTTATAGTTGTTATGATAATAAAAAATAATAAATTTTGCATTGGTTTGGATCCAAGAAATCTTAACAAGGGCATCAAGCGTTCACACTATCAACTTCCTAATTTTGAAAATTTTAAATCTAGATTAAATGATTTATATTATTTCTCTAAACCAGAGATTAAATCAAAAATAATAATACAATTTACCGTTATATGGATATTAAGCGTTATGATCAAATGCCTGTTTAACGCTATATGTATATCAAACGTGTTGATCGAATGACTGTTTAATGTTATAAAAATTTAAACGTTATGCAACTTAAGCTTTTAAACGTTTTACAAATTTACAAGTTATGAAGCGTTTAGCGTAATCTGATGGATATAGCTTGTTATTACACAAAATAGAATAATTGAAAAATATAAAATTACAAAAAAAAACAATAATTTATATTTTACTGATAGGTAGTTATAATTTTATAAATATTTTTTTTCAGGCACTTATATGTTACAATTGTTTCTTGTTTCTGTTTCGTTATCCGTTTCCAATCGTTTATCGTTTACCGATATGTTATCCGATAACCGTTAACATGTCCTACCCATTGGAGTCTCCTTTTTTTAATTTCTTTAATTACATCATGCATTTGGTATAATCCTTACAAACAAGACTATTCGTTTTTTTGAATTCTAATTGGAAACTGAAAAACCAATCTGATGAGTTGTACTTAAAAAAAATAACAGCATAGAACACTAGTAGAATCCACGATAAAATAGGAATAATACATTTAGAATACAAGACTATAATGATTAATATGACATTTATCTCAAAATAATTAATTTAGTTTTGTTGTATTAATTGATTTCAGGAGCTTGATTATAAATAAGAGGAATACAGAAAAAGAAGATGGTAATACATATTCTATCGACGAAGGGCATGTTTAAAAAAAAAAGGAGTTGGAGTCAAATGGAATTAATATTTTAAAATTGGTATAACTAGAGAGGAAGAAGCTCATAGATTTAAATCACAATTAAAATCTGCATTCAAATCCAATAAGAAATTTATTTTTACCAGTATTGAGGAGGTATTCATGACCATTGATTATGTTGAATCTACCGAATTTGCAAGTTCATCAGCCAAAAATGTAAAACCAAAGATCCGTATCATAGATCCTTTTGAAATAATGGATCCTGATACATACATAAGGTGGATGATAATTTGTTTTTCTGATATAATAACCAAACCTCAAACAAATGGCCTAACAAAGTTGGCAGTTGTAAAACCGTCAACAAGTGGACGAAAACCATCTTTACCTAGAATTAAAGTAAATGGATTTAAACGCCATTTAAATGACAAAAATCATTTTAGAGGGAATTTAATTGAAATTGAAAAATTGTATAAACGGTATTTTAGCAAATCTGTACAAGGTACTTTAGTGACCATTGCAAATATACTAAATGCAATTTAAATGTCTAATCAACACCACAATTCACGAATGAAAAAAAACATATAACAAAATAACTGAAACAGTACAACGCATTAAAAGATGTGATGTCAGCCGATTACATGAAAGCAATAAAAATATTCTTGAAACAAAATTGAAGATCATTTTTATAGAAGTCATCTCTTGCAGAATTGGAAACTGAATTAGCATTTCAAATGTTCTTTCAAAGTTTATAAGCTGTACTTTGACCTTTGTACTAGCCAACTTTCAATGAAGGTATCTTCAAACGTTTCATAATTTTACTATGTAGAGATTTGAAAATCATTGAAGATAACGATCCAAAAATGAATTCAATGTTCTTTCCAATGAAATTTTGATGCGAATGCATCGATTTAATAGGTCTAATTTATGTTTGTATGGATATTGCTCTCGGATTCGACCATCGCATGACATTGTTTTTTGTATGAACAGTAAATAATCGGAAATATTTTCAACAATTTATTAATGCTGTAATCGGAGGTTCTAATAAAGATCTGAAGTTATTTATCGATAATGTTACTTTTCATTGTTCCATGAATCAAATATTGTAAGGTTCCTGTAGATTCTACTACACAATACTAAAATACCAGTAACTCAAACTATTCCAAACTCTAACAACTCAAATGAAACAATTCAACACGTTTTCCTACTGAATAATCCAAATGAAACATACCAGTAAGTTTTTTTTGTATCTTATTACTGTTTTGACCCTCTTAGTTGCTATAAAATATTTGATTTATACACAATTTTAGTATGTTTAGACCTCTAATAGTGATTTTGTATTTCAGTCTTATTAATGTAAACTTTAATTACATCTATAATAGTCAGATTAATTTTTATTAAAGCATATAGAGGTTTATAGTCATATTATAATTATTAATTAAGTATATGGTATCTAAATATAATAACTTTTTAGTATCAAAATATAATTGAAACACAAAATCCATATTATGTACTACATTTAACCTATTCCTTCTTTCTATGTCTTACATAATTATTGTAATTAAAATTAATATTAATTGGTTCTGTTATATTTTCAGGCGAATATCTGTGCTTCAATTGTAACGAGCCCGCCAACTTCTTTGAATCATTCTCCTTTGTCAGTGGTACTGATATACTAGTTAAACCTGAGCCAACCATTTTTATCAAGGTATGTAAAATGCTTCAATATAAATTTTATAACATAGGTTGTGATGGTCTTAACTAACAAAAAACCAAATGATTTATGGTTAATTCACCAATTAATTAAATTGACGACTAACGAATGTCTTGGTCGGCTTTCGACTAGTTATGAAATGATTCAGTTTTTAAAGAATCTGAAAATTGAGAATAAGTTATTATAATTTCATCATTACTAACCTCTTTTTTCCTATAAATTATTTAGAAAAGTCATAATTTGAAAATTATGAAGTATCTAAAATTTGAATAGAAGAATTTGAGTTATTTAACTTTATGAACTAAGAATATATTTGTTTGGAAGATTAGGGGATATAATGAAATAAAAATTATACAGTAATTAATCTATTGTCATTTTCATGTTTCTAAAAATGTTATGAGGATAATTAGTTTTAAATTATACATTACATACATTTTATTCTTTTTGAAAACGATTTATATGATCTATTATTCTTGTATTAATATAATACATTTTAATAACTCAGAAACTATACTAGTTTTAATTTGAATTTAGAGATATATAAGTACATAAAAATGGTGTCAAATTTGGAACATCATGGAAGTCATTGACATGTATAGTAGGTGTCGAGTGAGGCTCTAAATTAAGCAGGTTACTGCAATGTATGTGTATAATATGATTTATGAACTCAATAATAAATAATTGAACACAAGTAGTTGTACTAGCCTTCCTAGTAACAAACAACGTAACTGATAATATACTTAGGTATAATTTATATAGAACAATTATTATCATTATGTTGTATATAACACATGTATAGATGGTGGTTTTACCCATAGTTGTACCATACGGTGGCTTTCAAATCATTTGATGGTCACTGATAAGGTAGTAGATACCAGTTCAGTATATCTTAGTCCGTGGTTAATATTACATTTTTGAGCATATTATATTTAATGATTCTAATACATTGACATTTTTTGTTGCTATGTTCAGATACTTCACAGGCAAAATACCCATTGGAAGACCTAGAATCAAGAGGAAATATGTAGTGAAGAATAATGTGGAAGAGCTAGGCGGCGGAACAGATTTGATGACCGGAACTGACCAGGAGGGATGGATAGAATGCTGTATGTTAGGATGGTCCGAAATGATGTTTTTTCTATCAACCTGTATTGAATTGTTTTATTTGAGTTGATAGAGTTTGGAATAGTTTGAGTTACTGGTATTTTAGTATTGTGTAGTAGAATCTACAGGAACCTTACAATATTTGATTCATGGAACAATGAAAAGTAACATTATCGATAAATAACTTCAGATCTTTATTAGAACCTCCGATTACAGCAATAATAAATTGTTGAAAATATTTCCGATTATTTACTGTTCATACAAAAAACAATGTCATGCGATGGTCGAATCCGAGAGCAATATCCATACAAACATAAATTAGACCTATTAAATCGATGCATTCGCATCAAAATTTCATTGGAAAGAACATTGAATTCATTTTTGGATCGTTATCTTCAATGATTTTCAAATCTCTCCATAGTAAAATTATGAAACGTTTGAAGATACCTTCATTGAAAGTTGGCTAGTACAAAGGTCAAAGTACAGCTTATAAACTTTGAAAGAACATTTGAAATGCCAATTCAGTTTCCAATTCTGCAAGAGATGACTTCTATAAAAATGATCTTCAATTTTGTTTCTAGAATATTTTGATTGCTTTCGTGTAATCGGCTGACATCACATCTTTTAATGCGTTGTACAGCTTCAGTTATTTTGTTATATGTTTTTTTTCATTCGCGAATTGTTATGTTGATTAGACATTGAAATTGCATTTAGTATATTTGCAATGGTCACTATAGTACCTTGTACAGATTTGCTAAAATACTTTTTATACAATTTTTCAGATTCAATTAAATTCCCTCTAAAATGATTTTTGCCATTTAAATGGTGTTTAAATCCATTTACTTTAATTCTAGGTAAAGATGATTTGGGTACACTTGTTGACGGTTTTTCAACTGCCAACTTTGTTAGGCCATTTGTTTGAGGTTTGGTTATTATATCAGAAAAACAAATCATCATCCACCTTATGTATCTATCAGGATCCATTATTTCAAAAATATCTATGATACGGATCTCTGGTTTAACATTTTTGGCTGATGAACTTGCAAATTCAGTAGACTCAACATAATCAATGGCCATGAATACCTCAGTACTGGCAGAAATAAATTTCTTGTTGAATTCTAATGCAGATTTGAATTGTGATTTAAATTTATGAGTTTCGTTCTCTCTAGTGATACCAATTTTAAAATATCAATTTTATTTGACTCCAACTTCTTTTTTTTTTTTTGCATTCTCATCGTCTATAGATTTATTACCAAGTTTTTTGGGTTCATTATCCTTATTTTTATTCTAGTTTTTAAAATCAATTTTTAGTATTCTAAATGAGTACAATGTATTAAATAATTATACTTAAAAATATGTATATTTTGTTATGTTAATTTAGTTTTTACCTATATTTGTAATATTATAATTTAATTATTAATTTTTTTTATTAATCCAGTACTATTTTGTTCTTTTTATATATTTTATATTTTACAGTCTTACCATTGTGTACATGAAACAGTTATACGGAATATATAATATTTTAGTTTGTTTAACAGTACAATGTTCGTTTTAATTATAATTAATTGATTAATATTATTATTATTTATTACCCCAACATTTTCAAAACGCAATTTTTTATTAATGGAGTACGAATATAAAGTATTTTTTTGGATTCACTGTTCATACTTATGTTGTTATATTATTACCTTAACAATATTACTATATTTTAACACTTGTATCATAAACTTTAATGAAGAAATGGATAACTGTAGACAAGGTATCTACCAGACATTTACCATTGTAAAATTAGTATAACACTAAAGTAATAGTATTAACAATTTAGTATAGGTACTAAAGGTGCTTAAATATCAATCAAATCGCATTGTCTATCATTGCAGTTGCTTACAACATGTAGGTACCTACCGGGAAAAGTCTTAAATTGGGGAATGTTGAAGCTGAAAGCTGAATGCTCGAACAATAATGAATGTTATAATATTATAGGTATGCGTAAAGGTACGGTTTCCCTGCAGCGTCTGGACGCGGCGTCTAGCGTCACTACCGGTCTGGACGTAGGTCGTGTCTAGACGCCGAGGCTAACCCAGCCATGCTGTTCTCGCATCTGACGCTGCAGGGAAACCGTACCTTAATATGTTTTAAATATGCTTCGTGTTACAACCACTTCCCATTTTAATTTTTTTTGTTATCATTATATTATTTGTTTTATTATTATATTACCCGCGTCTTTCTAAATTTTAATTTTGAACAAGCAAACCGTACGATTATTGTGGACTTATTTCTAGTTATTTTTGGTAAAAATGTTATTATTGTCTTTCGTAATTTTGATATTGAACGAGCGAAAAGTACGATTATAGCGCACCTGTTTTTGATTATTTTTGTTAAAAATATCATTATTACGAAAGACGCGGCTAATATAATAATAAAATAAAGTATAAACAATAAAATGTAAAAAAAAAAATTTTAAATGGGTACCTACTGGTTGCTACAAGAAAGAGGTTAGCCTATGTTTGAAATAGCCTATGTTTTTTTCCCGTTGATGTCACTGCTGGATCACTGGTATAAATCGTGGTACCGATAATCTCTTAACATATTTCAAACCACTGCAGCAATCCTGCAAACTCAAGTTCGCGATTCTAGCGATTAGTAGCAACCACTAACCGTTTTAATATTTTTTTTTTTGAAATATTGTGTTTGATTAGCCGCGTCTTTCGTAATTTTTATTTTG